AATCGAATAAGAAAGTTGTTACTATTATTGTTACAGTATTTTTATTTTTTAAAAACAAGCATAAATTTACCTTTTTCACGGCCACCATGCTTAGTTGCTTTATGGGCAGCACAAATTATTTCGTAAAAATTTTCGATATAACAAACTTTTGTCCTCAGATTATTCTTAAGATGCAGTTCCTCTGTTGCACCAATACGATGAACTTTAAAAGTATTAACCGTCCAATATTTGAACTTCGCGTTACACTAAAGATATGGATTTTTTTAGTACATTTAAATATTCATTATATTGACTTCTATCCAACAAGCTTTGCTTGTTTTTTCTTTTGTTAATGAATGTCTCTAATCTTCGGTTAAAGGTTTTACGAGTCCTAAAGTTATATTCTTGCGAATCCATAAGGGTTGATAAAAATCGATTCAAATATAATGAATAAAAAAAAAAAGAACTAAAATATGCGATGATAAAAGAATTGTAAAAGTAAATATCAATGTTAATGTAATTTTTAATAATTATTATTATCGTCATTGATAAAATATGTAATTATTATTAACATTATTGACAGTTAATAAATTACATCTGCAGTTTATTAAATTGAATCGATTTGGGTCATGATCTGCATTACAAATTGACCTGGGCCATTTCACGATCGGTGAAAATCGAGAAATAACACGTGCCAATTCCGGATCGACTTAAATCCCGTAACGACGCGGAACTGTAAATCACCAAGTCAAAACCAATTTCCATTTTAGTATACTTGATAAAATATTTACACAAGACAAAGAAATCGGTTACTGCTATCAAATGGAATTGAAAAAGAAATATATACATAAAATAATAATAATAATAATAAAACGATAAAAAAAAGGAAAAGAAAATTTTTATTCGTTACAGCAGATCCTCGATTCAACTAAATCGAAAAGGGCGATAAACTTATTATCAATAAAAGAGAAATATACAGGGATGGCACGTCACAATGTCCAATTGGTTTCAATTTTTTTTGGACATATGTCTAATTTCAATTGGACATATGTCCAAAAAAAATTGCAACCAATTGGACATTGTGACATGCTATCTCTGGAAATATATGGGTTGTTGCCTAGCAAATCGGGGCTTAGTGACAAATTTTTTATTTGTAAATATCAACGATTAATTATTTTAATGCAAAATCTTGCATTGTGATAAAATTAGAATATTACATATAGTTGCATTAGCATATTTCCTTTTAAAGTTATATATTGCGCTTGAAATTATATATTGCGTTCTATTCTCACTGTAGTGAATCCTTGATATAGTGAAGCCTAATCAAAATCTTAATATAGAGTGCTCTTAAGTGTTAACCTCAATATAATTGCATGCAATCATAATAGCGCTCAATCATAATTATATTTACATAAAAGTTTTTGTTAAAAAATCAGTAGTAAATAATCATAATGATGCTTATTTATCTGATTGATCAAAGAATGCTCTTAAACGTTAACCTCAATACGATCATAGTGCTCAACCATAATTATATTTATATAAAATTTTTTGTGGTAGTAAATGATTGTAATAATATGCTCATTTATCATGATCGATCAAAATAATTTTAGTTTAAATAAATAATAATTTGTTGAGCTAAAAACAAAAATTCATAGCGAGTTACTTATAATGAACTTAGTCTTAAATTTAGTCAGCATAAAATTCTTTTCATTTTTATATTTTATTGTTGATATTGATGTTTATTTAATGGTTATAGTTGGTTATTTGTAATTTTGTTAGAATTAATGTTAAACTTTTATATATTTTAATAAAGAATTTTTTTAAAATTTTTTTGTAATAAATTCTAAGAATTCGTCTTGCTTTGTTGCAAAAAATCTCTAATTTCATTAAAATTTCCTATATTAACTTGAATTGGTAAAAAGCATTAATTAAACTTTCTTACTCTTTCATTATATTAATATAACACATAAATTATTCAATAAAGACAGAGACCAGGCCTCACTCTTTAAAATTAAAAAAAAAAACTTTCTTACTCTTGCATAACGAATGATATGTATATGTATGTAGATCACCCCTTAAATAAAGATTTTGTTATTCTAACCGTCAATCTAAATTTAGAATATAACGCCAGATTAAATAAAAAAACTGCGTACAAGATTGTACTAAATTAAAATGAGTCCTACAAAATATTACGAAGTTTAAGAGATTTCTTTACTGCAATCACAGGATTCACAGGACACAAAAAAAAATTATGCAGATCTTTGATCCAACTAATCGAAAAGAGCAATAATTCAAAAATTTTTGTATTATGAATTATATATATTTTATTAAAATTTCACATAAGAACATACATGACACAATTAAATAGAGTTTCTTTTTAAAGAAACTTTTCAAAGATAAATGTAAAATTTTGTAGCAAAATATCAAATTGAATAGCAATCAGAACATAATGCTATTTATAATTTGCAGTAAAAAAAGATATAGCATTATACAAAATAACATAAAATTAATATAATATAAAAGACGTCAAGAAAAAGCAGAATAAAATTGCCGGAATAATAAATCGGGAACAGGATATTACAAATTTATGCGGGTGGAGGGAGTTTAGCGCGTATTGGGTGGAGGGTATGGAGCGAGCAGATTATCATTCACGTCGGGCTGATTCGGAACAGGCATAGGGGTTGGTATTGCTCGCGCAAATAAGCGTGTCTTGGGTGGAGGTGGCGGAGCGGGAACTCCTTGAGTTATAAGAACAATCATAAAAAAGATAATAATGGTGCGAGTGAGAGTAAAAATTTGCATAGTGATCGCAAAAAAAATACTGATCGCAAAAAAATACTGATGACAGGAATAAAAAATTATTCACAAAGTAATGAAAAACAATACTGATGACAGGAATAAAAAATTATTCACAAAGTAATGAAAAACAATACTGATGACAGGAATAAAAAATTATTAAGCACAAAATAATGAAAAAAAGATCTTTAAGTGTGCATTTATATATTTCGCAACCCCATTTTCATTTTTTTTTGTACACTTTGTAGCAACGGACATATGATCAAAATTCGGATGACCGCGGCCGAGAAAAAGTCATTATCTTCATTGCTAAGAAAGTACTTCATTATCATCATTGCTAAGAAAGTACTTCATCATCATCATTGCCGAGAAAGTACTTCATATCGATTTGAAATTTAATCATTCTATATTGAATCTTAACTAATACAAAGTGACAACAAATTCTAATACACGGTCATTCGAATTTTTGATCATCTAGTGTTTACACAAATTTATATAAAAATTCGTATGATCAAAATAGCGAGATGGGTGATTTTTCTAGCAAATGATCCAAATTTGAAGGGTGCCGGTCAAAATCCAGAAAAGCACAATCCCGACAGGCTATATCCCGACAATTAAAAATTAGAAAATCCCAAATACGGGGTATGTTTAAAGTGAAGGATTTTTTTGTCGGGATTATGACCTATTGGGATTTTGACCCAAACCCAGTCGAATATTGTAAAAATTTAGCCCTTATATGTAATTATTTTACCAGTACGATCACATGAATATGTGGAGGGATGGTTCCGTTCAACTTTTACCAGTACGATCACATGAATATGTGGAGGGATGGTTCCGTTCAACTTTTTTGATGTTCGCTATGCTCATTTTT